GGGGGTAGATAGCCATTCGGGCGACGAAACAAACTGAACTGTCTGTTACTTGATATAGGGTGTCGGAAGCTATAACTAAGCCATATCGGATCATGTATTCTTGTGGTGTGGAAAGCTTATGGAATCCCTCATCCCTTTTAGAGTTTGAGCACTGCCTTGCAAGTCGCATAGCTCTGAAAAGAACCCTACGCAAGGCCTCAGTAGTTAGAGTCTTGAAACGATTGATATTCTTATAAACAATCCAGCTGAAATGAGAAATGAGACCTTTTCTCTAGCGGGGTTACAGTTACAGTGTACCTCTACCCTATGATATAAGAGCAGTGGTGGGTAAGGCATGGAAATGAAACATAACATAGATTCCAGAACACATATAATGGAAGCCTCTGATGAAGCTGAGTGTGACATCATCTGTGAGACTTTCTTCATACTGTATGTAGCATGGTGTTAGGGTAACACAACTCGGCAATAGAAGTCTCTGATCCCAAATTTTACAAATTTATGAATGAAGGACAGATCTCCTAACCTAAATTGGGTACTCTCTGCAGAATTTAATCTCAAGTTACGCTTTGTTTCAAGCATCAGATTGATCTTGAAAAAGGGTGTATGGGTATCATGCTCCATGGCATACTGCAATTGAACTTAACCACACCATACGTACAAAACTGGAAATAGAAGATTTACTCGGTTCAAGGAGTTGTTGAATTCTAATTTAGAGACTTGCTTGGGGTGCACCGTTCATGTGCAGGTGGTATCCTAGTTTGGTGTGACAATTTTTTCTTTCAAGACGATCAAAGCTAGGGCAATTGAACTAGGAGCGCCCCGATCGAACTAGTATCTCTAACAGACAAATAGAGAGCCTGACTTGCGATTTCTGAGCCTTGGTTGTATTGTCACAAAGGCAGCTGGCAAACGTCAACCAGGAAAGTTTAGTTGAATAAGGAGCGGGATTTTGTCAAATGACATAACCCTAACTCAACATATGTCCCTGAAGCTGTTTCCACCCAATCCAGGTAACCAATCTTTATTGAATGATATTTCCCTAGTCTGATGGGCGCAGATATGTAAGTCGCGGATAGCTTATTTTTACCCGAGGAAACGGTTTAGACAGAACCACGTCATACATATGTCCGTATGTACAAATTTCATGCTGCAGGAGCTCCGCACGCGCCGAGCCGATCGGCAATCAATCATTGCCCTATGTGCCATCCGCTCGAGTCGAACTAAGAGAAGAGGGAAAATATCCACGGAAGGGACTTGATTGTTGAAATAGATCGAGTGGAAACGGTCATTTAGATGCTTTAGAGACTAAAGCCACCAAGGTGCTAAATACAAGTCCAAGGACGAGTAAACGACTCCATACGGCAAGACTAGCAAACCAACCAGATCACCGCCTTTCTTTCCCTTTTCTCCCCTTCTTCTCCGCGCCCCCCCCCCCGTACCAAACTTCAACTTCTCTTACTGGCAGTTTGCCGGGGCTCAAAGACATCTTGCCCGTTAGCAAAGCTTCTCCTAGCAACAACTGTCTCGCCTCTTCTGGCTCCCTCGCGCGCCTCCTTTCTAGATCTTCCCCCTCCTATTATTACCTACCCTCTGTGTAGTACCGGGTACACAGTACACAAGCCGCAACACTTCGCTCACTCCCTACTCCTCTCCTTTATCGCTTGTGTTTCGTCGGTCGCATGGCCCCCTTCATCCTTCTCCCGAAATAGAACCACTCCGTTTGGTTCCTCCGTTTCGCCTGAGCCTCGTTTTTACCCTTCAATTCAAACCCACTCCCGTCTCCTTTCTTTTAGCCGCGGATCGCTGGCTCGTCGTCGTTCTATCCTCTCGTTTATCGTTCCTTCTTTCCCTTCCCCCCACTTGGCAAGCAACTGTTCCGCCATCCTTGTCCCTATTGGGGTAGAATAATCAATCAATCACCGTTTCCCTCGTTTATCACCCCGACCATCCTCACTCATCCCCATCAAGCTGTCATATTCCATCATTGTCTCCTCTTCCAAGTGTGAGCGGCCATCGGAGGAAATCAAATTCAAAACATGGCCTCCAACGACGACAATTTGAAGACGGACAGTCTGCGACATGGGGATAATAATGAGCATTCAGTGCCTACCACCGCTGTGCACTCCCCAGAATCCAATGTGCAATCAGCCTCCGCTCCTGCTTCAGCCCCAGAACCGGCAGCGAACCCGCTTACGTCTGAAAATACCCCCCATCAACAACATATGGTGACCGAAACGTCAGATGCACAGCCTCTCGCTGGTGGCGAAAGTGCTCCTCTACCCCAACAACCAAGTGATGCGAGTACTCTTCCGACTCCCAATGCGCCCGCCGTTGAGTCCCAGGCCTCGACTATTGAGGCGCCCCCTGCAGAGCAGCCATTGCAGGAATCTGACGCGAAGGAGGAAGACCAGGGCCCGTCGCTGATGATTACATTGCTTTTGACATCAGGTTCGCGGCATCCGTTCAAGATCGATGGGAAGTATCTCCAAAAACGGTCAGTGAATGTGGAAAACAACGATCCTTTTGCCATGAGCGTATACACGCTTAAGGAGTTGATCTGGAGGGAATGGCGACAAGGTATGTATTGGCGTAGACAGCTATCAAGGACCGGACCGGGTGAGATCGAGTAAAACTAATGTGCGCATCTCTGTAGATTGGGAACCGCGACCATCATCGCCGAGTTACATTCGGCTGATCTCGTTTGGTAAACTGCTCGACGATAAAGCGCCTCTATCAGGTATGTCATATGTTTACCAAGCAAAGTGTTACTTGGCGAGATGCTGATTCAAGTTTTAGACTCCAAATTCAACCACGATGCTCCCAATGTGGTGCACATGACAATCAAACCTCAGGAACTTGTCGATGAAGAGGACGCCAAAGGCTCTAAGCCACAGTACTCGCGGGAACGTGAAGCCAGTGAACGAAGCCCGGGGTGTCGCTGCGTAATCCAATAAACTCATTGGATCCTGTATTTGCACATACCGATGATGGGGGTTGCATCCTTATCCAGCTTTGACGTTACCTGGCCTTCTGGTTCTGACAATGCACGTCTGTGGTTTATTCAATATCGCAAGAGGTCTCGTCTAGTTGTTGGGCGCGATGGACCCATTATGCCCCATACCCCCGTCCGTCTATCTCGTTTTGGGTTTAACCTCGTCTTATTTGTGAGCGCTTTGGCATGGCCATCGCTCTGTGGCCTTGATGCGGGATATCTACTTGGCCACTTGTGACCGTAAACAGGGACGGCGTTCCGGATGTTCGTATTTGCTCTTCCAGCACCGAGGCATATGTGTGGTATTCTTAGTGTGTTTCTGGTTTTATGGTTTCCATTTGTTTGCATAATCACTCGAGCTGCTCGACGCTGCTCTTGCCCTTCACCCCGTTCGTATATACCCTATTTCTTTGATCCTCCAAGCTGTTGTCCATCAGCATGTGTCTACATATTAGCAGATTCTTCATATTCTTTTTCATCGTCAAGCACAAGACTGATTTTCCCAATCTTCTCATAATCCCGCCGTAAATACCTCATATCTCCGCGTGACGAAGTCATCATGGTACCTAGGTCCACACCGATGTCTCCACTACTCGATAAGCACTATGAACACACCACATAGCTAGAAGTAAATGAGGTAGCGCAGGGCCTGTGGCTTCTAACCGTGTAACGCAACTTGACGGCGTACAAGCGACGTACAAACAATACCACGGCTACACGAAAGGAGTACAGCGGTACCCTTAAATCTGCTTCCTCAGCCTAATACAATCCACGGCCAATACGTGTAGCTCGACTATTCATCCATGCAACCCGTATGTCTAATTGCATCTAGTAATATTTGACCATCAAATCATGAGTGGGCCACATCAAATCCTCTTGTTCACATCCCGCCTGTATCGAGAATAAAGAATTATAACGACCCATACGATGAATTAAATAAACGAGACCAACGAAGCATAAATGGAAACCAGAAACCGGCAGTCGAAACGTAGCTTAGAAATCCATCCGCAGTCTCTTCTCCATTTCATCGTGGAAAGTGGGTGGTTCTCTGAACTCATCTCCTGTGCTGAGTCAGTATATGGTGGTCCGATCCTCGAGCACAAACTCCTAGTCCTACGGAGTAGAGGTAGATGGGTAGAGGAGAATGATGACGAACCTTTAAACACATCCTCCCACCCGACTTCCGTATCCCGTCCACCGAGTACAAGAATATCCTCATGAACATTGCCCGCCTTTGCACCGCCCAGCACCGCCGGCCGGAATGTTCCATCCCGCACGAGCTTCAGTTCCATGCCGCGGCGGACGGGCTCCGCGATACCGTATGCCCGACGCAGGGACTCCATCTTCATTGCATCCTGCGTTTGGCGCCAGGCAATCAGACGGGCTTCGAGAGGGTGTGCGGAGGCGGGGATTTCGGATTGAGAGGAGGGAGGGCCCCGGGCGGCGGGGAGGGTGATGTTGTCGCGGAGGGTGTCGGGGAGACCGGGGGCTGAGGGGGCGCCTTTTGACGGGTGGGGAAGAGAGATGGGGATGTTTTGACGGGTGGTTGTGTTGGTAGTTTGGGTGCGGTAGTTTGTGGCTGGGGCGATGCGGAGAGACTTTTTTTTCTTTTTGTTAGCTGGGTGGTTTGATTTGCTTGGATGATGTGTTGCATGTAGTTCTGGGGTGGTAGTGGTCGATGGGATGAGCACATACCATTGTGGTGGACTTGAGGGTGAGATTTAATAAACTATTGGTTGGATATATCGAGACGTGAGAGATACCGGTGTCTATCGTATATGGTGGAGGAAGATGGGGAGGGTCAAGATGGAAGCCGAACTGAAAGCGCAGTGGAGGTTAGACAAGATACCGAAGCTCTGACGATAGACCTGACAAGGCAACGGTAGGATAGCGCGTCCAACAGCTCCTCCGGTACGCCCTAACTACCACCTCCGCAAAGCTGATCCTCAGTCAGCATGCCCATCACGTGAGCGCTATCGCAAATTATCCCCGATCAATAATAGCAGAACCTCCGAGAGAAAAGGAAAAGACAGCAACATCACCGCACTTCTCACACACAATGCCGCCGTTCGTCTCCTCCCTCACTCTCCGCACGCTGCGGACCATCATCCAGCGTCCCACATTCACTGCTATCGCCGCCCCCAAGCCCTCATACTCCATCCCCCGGTTCCAGCCCGTCCTCCGCACACCCACGGCCGTCGCTGCCGCTACCACCCCCAGCCTTGCTATCCGCCAGTTCTCGACCTCCCCGTTCCGCCAGGCTACTTACAATCAAGTCCGTCGCGGATGCCGGGTTGCCCAGCGGGCGCGTCGTGCCCGGTCCCCTGCGCTGAAGGACAGGCCTGAGATGAAGGGTGTGTGTTTGAAGACGGGTATTACGAAGCCGAAGAAGCCAAACTCCGGTGAGAGGAAGACGGCAAGAGTACGTTTGAGTAGCGGCAAGGTGGTAACGGCTTATATTCCTGGTGAAGGTTTGTCTTCCTATATTGGTGGTGGTTTAGGGGTTTCGATGTTGACAAGGGTGATTGTAGGTCATAACGTGCAGCAGCACAGTGTTGTTCTTGTTCGTGGTGGACGTGCTCAGGATTGTCCTGGTGTGAAGTATCATTTGGTCCGTGGTGCGATGGATTTGGTATGTTGTCCTTTTGTTATCTATTACTTGGTAGCTTGAGTGATATGGGTTGCTGACGTCGTTATAGGGTGGTGTTGCCAATCGGTTGACCAGCAGATCGAAATATGGAACTAAGAAGCCGAAGAGGGATTAATTGATTGAGGCTGGAGAGATACCCTGACTAGGCCGATAGGCGAGAAGCCGATGTTCAGATGCTTGTATTCTACTATCTACTTGGGTTTGTTAAACGAACTGTTATCGTTGTCATCGTTATAAAATAGCTATGTACATTTATGATGGAACTTTATATTGAACGGGTTATTTTCGCTTTTCCCCCAAGTCAAAACATAGTGTGGTAATTGCCCTGCTGTAACCTTAGCGCTCCATGAATCTACACAATCACTCCCTAAAAGCAAGTAAAGAAGATGATGAAATATCCTTAGAATAAGACACATGACAACGCGGAAATACGAAGAAAAAGGAAAAAGAGGGTCGAAATAGCCAATGCCCAGCATCTACAATTGGAACAAAATGGTCAGGTGGATCTACCTTTTCGCATGGTGATATTTATCGTTTAAGATATGTCTCCCGCATGGCAGCGGTTCGCTCAAGTAGATAAAGGCCGCCATGGACCGCTCGTGCTCGAACCTGGTTGCTGATTGCAAGGACAAGACCGCCAATAATAAATATCGCGAGGAAGACTTTTCCGAGAGCGGTTAGTCAACTCTCAGCCTCGTAGCCCGCGGGCTTTTTCATGTTATTAACATGGAAGAAGCGGGAAGTGCCTAGTTGGAGGGATGTGTTAGTAACTGCTCCGCAATAGCCGTAAGAATTGACCTACAGGAATAGCCCTTCCAGTCGAAGTTGTCGCTGGGGTTGCAGTGGCACTTGAGATCCAGTCTCAATTGCTCACCAGTCGGACAGTGGGTGAAGGGGACATGGTAGTAGGCGATTTCATTGAAGAAGTGGACCTGTTGTTTTTCCAGGAGCAGGCCAGCAGCGATAGAGTGCACTGGAGCATCACCCCATCTTTCATAGAAGAAGCCGCCATCGCGGTCAAGAGATTCAAAGTAATCCAAATATTCCTTGGACCTGAGCCATTCCAAGTGTCCAATCTCGAAATTCGACCACTGCTCACAAAATTCTGGTTAGTGAAGCCACTCTCAAGTTTCATTAAGCGAGGCACTTACGAAATGGCACTTGTTGTATGTTTTCCCACCGTCATCGCTCAAGAATTCCATTGAGTTCTCTTTCGCGATGTGTTCAGGGTGATTGTCCATGAACTTCTTCACGCTATCCCAGAGGGTAGGAATAGTATCGAAGTATTCATACAGACTAAGAACAAAGCTGTACTTCTTGTTGTTTTCCTTCATAAATCGGAAAGGATCGAAGCTGATGTCGCAGAACAATTCAATGCTGGGCTCCACACGCCAATAGTACTCGTAGTTTAGCATCAAAGGGTGCCGGAAGAAGAACCCAGACTCGTAACGGCACATGTGTCGGTAACTCTCGGAATCGCCGTAGATGATTTTCCTTTGGCCCATATCCTCACGCACCTTTTTCGCCTTGTCTTGATCGATCCACTCAGGGTACGACCAATGTTCCTTTGGAATGACACCGTAATGGGTGGTACCGGAAACCAGGGCCGTGGTGATCTTTTTGAATTCGTCATCGAACTCCTTGTCATTCAGGAATACCCAATCATAATGGTAGTTGCGGTTAAAGCGATCTTCAACACTCCGGATTGACTTCGCAATGTCCCAAACATCCGAATTGCGCGCCAACGTGACAAACGTAGCATTAACCCGTGCACCTTGAGGGGTGCTCACGCTCCCCGAAGCACCGTTGGTCTGCTCCTTCGGGGTAGCAGTACTGTCATGAGAGGACGGGGGAGAGGCGGAGTTATCTTTGTAGCTGGCCGGGTTCAGCTTCGAGCCGATAGTTTCGGGGATTGGAATTGCGCTTCTGGAGAGGAAAAAGAAAACGGCCAAACCCTGTATTGAAATCATAGGTTAGCCACTAGCATGGAACAGCGTGGGAAAGAAACCACTAACCGCCGCGGCGAAGAGAAGGTATCGCACGTATTTCACCGGTCCCGATGACATGATTGTAAGATACCCCTACCGTGCCAGACACGGGACTATCGAACAACCGGATGAGGTTTGAAAATGGATGCCTAGCCGTCTATACGGGAACGGGCAGGTCGGAAAGCAAGGGGGATGTACCAGGATCAAACGAATGACAAGAACAGGTGGAGGGAAGCAGCTCTTTAAGAAGGTGAAGAAATTAAGTGCCGTCAATTAGAAGTATAAGTGACTCGCCTGACTACAGGTTGACAGCCAGAGCGGCGATAGAGGCGACAGCTGAAGTCTAGCAATGAGACAAGGGAGAGACACTGTTCTGGAAGAAATTATTTATTCTCCAGTTAGAAAGGGAAATTGCACGATCCCCACCCTTTGCAGGAAAACCGTCGGGGTCGCGAGCCAATATGCCGAGGAGTTAGTTTCACAAGGAGACGAGGGAAAATTGGTTACATGAAATAGGATCTTTTTGTTCGAGATCATGATTTAGTTGGCAGTGGAATGGCAACGTAATGTACTCTATCATTGGCCGAGACTCTCTCCCCTACTAGGAGTTCCAAGAAGTGTGATTGCCCAGTTGAATAGACATGCTGGTCATTGAGGAGGAAAGTGTTACGATCCTCTATGTGCTAGGCAGTAGAAAGAATGATTCATTCTATTGGATTTTGTAGTTGATACATATACATCGGTTGTTCACCCTGGTTGATGTGTTTGAATGGGGCCATGGCGACTCTAAGGCGACGATCTATTCCTGCCCGGGGTTTGGGGCAGCAGCTGGGCTTAATGACAGTCAGATCAAACCCATGACGATGACGGCAATATCCAATAAGGTTTTACATGTCCTTGCATTCACTACGTATCAGAAGACCATAACAAACGGAGCATATACCTTGACAGCTGTTCTTCGAAACATTGATTCATTCCCCTATGTATTTGTAACTGGTATAGTCCGTTGCCTTAGGCATCAATCCCACTCCGGCACTAACCTGGAGTCGGTAAGCGGGTGATATCAGACCGGAAGTCGACTTCATCCCGCACTACATTTATGCGGTGGTAAATCTCGCTCCCCTGCTACCTCATCTCTCTGCATCCACGTCCCGCTGAAGATGTCCTTCTTCGGCTTTGATACGACCCTCCCGAGGGATCGCGCCCCCGGGGGTGGACAGAGGGGTATTTTTGATACTCCTGACCCGTTTGCCGAAGTCGCTCGCGCCAGGTTGCAAGGACATCATGACAATGACGATGATGATGATGTGTAAGACTGCCCGTCTCGATGTCGCCTTCACCCGATCAGATTATCTATGCAGCGAACATGATATACTGACTGATGGTTTCTTGATCGGTCTGCAGAATTGATTTCGAGGATACGTATGATGGTCTGGGAGATCAACTCGATGACGATCAGGATGCGTTCAACGACGACACGTTCGGTGGGGACATGGGTACTAGCGCTGTTGGTAAGGACTTTGACTTCTTCGGAAAGACCGCTCAGGTTGCCGATGTCATTGGAGAGGAACAAGTCCGCTACAGCCTACAAAAGCCCCAGGCTCCTACTGCCGCTCCTGTCGCCGAAGTCCCTGTTGCAACAAGTGCCGTAGCCCAGAAGCCCAAGCGCACCGGATACGAGAAGTATTCAGATCCGGATTATATACCTGATCTTCAGGCAAAATCCAGCGTTTGGAATCTACAGAAGAAGCCCGAGCCTGCGCCTGCGGTTCAGCCCATGGTTCAGCCGACGGTACAGTCGATGGTACAGCCGATGGTCCAGCCGATGGTACAGGCCAGGAAGATGCTGAGTCTGGAGGAAGTGGAAGCGCAGTTGCGTCACCAGGGCCCCGGGCCTGCCCCGGGTTTGCCCCCGGTTTCACTTCCCCACTCAATGGCAGAGGCACTCCATCATCTGCAGCGACCTCAGCAAATCCCTGGTTTCCCGGAAGGCTTCCCCCAGTTGCCTCCTGAATTCCTGCAGGCGCAGTTTGCTAAAGGTGTCCCACCTGCGCAGATGCTGCACCAC